ACAGAATACAAAGTAAAAAGCCTACTAAATAAAATGCATCAAAAATATTGGATCAGTTAATCGTATATTCCAATTTATGAGATATTTAAAACAGCAATAAAATTGGTACTTTTTCCCTGCACATTCTGTGAAATAATGACCGCTAGGTTTCACAGCATATTTTTCGAAAGTAGCGCCATTTATGAAAATTTCCTTTACGCAACTTTGATGGTCACTCTTTTTCTAATACAGAGCGTTAAAAACATAGTCTTGGTTTTAACTTTTAAAAATTAGCTTTTGGCCACTGTTTCCGCAACTCCTCGCAACCAGTTCAGAATCAAAATCTCGAAATAAAAAGCCAAGTTCAGCCGAGTCGGAATTCAAATCAATTTAATCTCTTCTTCTTTTCAATTTCGATATTCACCTGTTAAATGCATGTTCTTCCTCTTTCTCTATCATATTCACATATCACATGTATGTTCTATAGCAACAAGCTTCTGTCAGTAGTCAGTAAGTCATCTACATCTACAACACTTCTCACACCAACACGCTCGCCGCCCTTCCCTAGACCCACATACTGCTGAGTTGCGGTAGAGGCAGAGGCAGCGCCCTCACACAAAAAAAAACAAATATAAGCTGCGGGACGGGGTGGGTTAAAAGTCGGAAGAGTCAGCGCCAGGGAGAGGGCAGAGGCAGGGGCCGAGTGAAGCAGAAGCAGAGTGTGAATGAGAGAATGAAAAAGACCAACAAAAGCTGCGGGACAGGGTGGGTTTAGCCACTGGAAATTAATTTCTCCATTGTGGCTATAATAATGATCTGATTGGATCCCAATTTGGTGATCTGATAGATATGGCCATTTCCTACGGAATGGCGTTTTTAGTTTTCTTTTATCTTCAAAACTGTAGATTTGGGACGTTTTCGCCCATTTTCGGGGGCGGAAGGGGGCGTGGCTCATTTTTGAAATACACTGGTTTCAGTGTGAGCATACAGCAGTCCGCCAAAATTTGGTGGCTCTAGCTCTTATAGTCTCTGAGAACGAGCCGACAAACAAGACGGACAGACGGACAGACAGACATGGCTCTATCGACTCGGCTATTGATGCTGATCAAGAATATATATACTTTATGGGGTCGGAAACGCTTCCTTCTGTGCTACATACAAGCGTTATTCGCACAAATACAATATACCCTATTTACTCTTTGAGTACCGGGTATAAAAAGAGTCTGCATTCAATCAAACACCAGGCACTTCATAACATCGACGGTATCGTTGTAGGCACTCTAAGCTTGGACTCGTTTAATCTCCTATTATATTATGGTACTATAGTCCGTAATAGTTCCTGATTCCCTTAAGACTTACCTGATTGTAGCCGAACAACGCCTTATCGTATTCCCGAACTTTCATGTGGTTGTTGGACTGATCACAGAGCAGCTTGATGTTGGTCTCAATCTCCTCGATGGTGTCCACCTTCTGCTTCTTGCGCGGCATTTTGCTTAGTTATCAGATGATCCTGGTGAGTTGTCAACTCTCTGGAAACAGCATACTCCTAAGAAACGAGTCACAGTCGTCGTAGGCTTTTGACTCTACACTCAGTTCATTTTCCGACACATACATATATCCACTTCGTCCTATCCGGCGGACGTCCGTTCCCAGCACTCGTCGCTGGCAAACTGAATTGTTCACCTTCGCCTCATATTTGCCTAGCCTGTGGCTTGTCTCTGTCTCAACTCATCCTCCATCTCCTTCTACAGTTGCTTCCCCCTGTTGCTGATAGTTCTGTCAGCCTTTGTGGCTCTTTGGTCTGCATGTTAGTTTGCATGCGCTGACAAGCAGCAATAAACTTCAATAAAGTTACATTATTAATATCTCAGCAATGGACTGATTTACACGCACTTAATTGAAATTATTGAAATTAAAGCCCGATCCGCGAATAGCTTTAACCATTCGAGACAGAGGAGTCACGCACAGTCAGAGTTGTGCAGCAAAATGCCAGATGAGTTTTGAATGGTGGCCTGCCCCAAACAAATCCAATTAGAAACCAACCAGCTGATAAGAGTGGGGCCCCAAAGTCGAAGCCGAAGCAGGAGCCTCGACCTGGGCAATCAATATGCTGCAGAGAGGAGGGTGGCGAACAATGGGGCTAGACAGAACAGATTTTGGAAGGGCTCTGCCTCTGGCTCGGTGTGCATTGTCTCTGCTGTCGCTGCTTCTGCCACGGCATTCACTTGTTAAGAACATTCATTTCGACATATTTATGAAACCAAGCAAATTGCCATTAATTTTCTTGTATGGTTTTTAGAGTAAATAAATAAGTCTGATGTCGGAACAGGTCGAGTCGGGCCTTGCGTGCTCCTACCTCATTTCGACTGTGGCAGCAACCTTCGCGGTGGCGTGGCAAAACAATTTCATTTGCCAGCCCCCCAATGACGACGAGAAAGTCTTAATGCCCGAGACATTTTGTGGCCTATCCCCAATACCAGCCCCTGCCCCAAACTGACTGATTGCCGTTCCGGTTACGACGTTGCAGATATGACGTTAGAAATTATGATATTTGCATTTGTTCAAGTTGCCCCCGAAGTTATCCTTGTGGATGTCGACGAGTTGGGCCGGGGTCCATGTGATTTGAATTTGGTTGTTGTTCTTAATACCGATTTGAGTTTACGACAACAATTCGTATGATAATCGTATCAATTGATACCCTGATTAATGGCCCACGCACCCTCAGATCAGACCTCACTTGTTGAAGAGACACCCCCCATTCGTAAAGCAAAGTAACTAAGGCAATGATTTAAAGTTTAATTGATCATTGGATCTGCATTGCACACGGAGGAAATTTTCAATACTTCAATTTTGTCATACATCAGCAAGCCACTTTTGTCAGGGCGAGGATAGGGAACCAGAAAATAGCCAAAAGTTTGAACAATTCTCCTTTTTTTTGGTGTGGGAATTACCGCATAGCCGTGCACTGCCATCACATGTTTTTATAATACCTGCACACTCTAAATAAACATATGAGTTGCACAACTGAAACAAACGGAAACAATATATCAATATAAAGTCACCAGATCCAATACCAAATGTTGACACTCACTTGGTAAGATTATCGAGCAAACTCCAACCCATGGCAAAACATGGCTCATGGCTTTGCCGAAAAAGAATAAACCTTTCATATTCTGCGAGGTAAAGCCATTGATAAATTAAGTGGAATGAGATAAATCTGTGTGCTTCTACTCACCAAAAACAATCCCAAAAGTATAAATATCCCGGACAATAAGTGTACTATAAAACATATAAGTACTATAACCTCGATCCAAACTTTAAGATCGTTTCTAGAATCACCCTTTGATTTGTCTGAAATTACAGCTGAAATTGAAAGTGAAATACACAAATCCGCTATCACTTTGTTCCATTCGCAAACTGCATTGTCTTTGGCCAGTACTCACCACCAAAGATAGCCAAATCAATTCTTGATTTTGGTTTGGATAATTCTTTGTCTAAAATGATGCTTGATGATACCATGCCGATGAAGCCAATGAGTCCGTTCCATATTCCAAAGAATAAAGACCATGTCTTATCAGGCCAACAATCGAATGATGGACAATCGCAACACAAGCACATTTTAAAATGGAAATTTGAATTTTAAAAATGATAGAAGAAAAAAGGAGTTCTTTGTCAGGAAAAACAAAACTAAAATTTAACTTGAAAATTTGATTTTGTTTGAAATATAAACAAATTTTTAGAGCTCTCTATTTTTTTGAGTATCTACGGCTAAGGTCAGATGAACAATGAAATGTATTCCATATTCCTGAACGTTCATAATGATCAGGAGTTCTATGTTGAAATTATTGTTTGATATTTCTAGGCAAAGTTGTGAAGGGCTGTCAAAATTTTTTTTATTTTATTTATGTAGTATAGAAGAGGATAAGGGACGAGTTTTCTGTTTAAGTTTAAAGTAAACTATATTTCGTTTTGTTTAAATTAGTTTTATACCAGTTTATTTAGCAAATCAAAACCAATTTCTCAGTACATTCAGCGCATTTAAAAAACTAACAAACTAAGCTTACAAATTAGCAAAAAAAGTGTATGTAAAATTGGACAAATAGGTACTATGGGTCGAGAGTAGGACAAAACATAGTACTCGTACATATCAAAAGAGTTGCAGTTGCGTTTTTTACAGTGTAGAAAAAGTTGTATTCAGAAAAATGTTTAGTTCTTGTTGTCGCTCTTGCTGATGTGGCTGTGGCTGTGTCTGTGGCTGTTGTTCTCTTTTTTGTTTGTTTGTGTGAGTTTGGGTTGGTTTTAGGTTTAGATTTGGGGGAAGTACGAGTATGTATCGATGATGATGTTCTCCGAGAGCTTCCTTCCCCCTTTGGTGCACGCTCTGTTGTCGCAGTAGTAGTATGTATGTATATGTATGTTTAATTAATTATTTATGCATTACACACATTTACACACACAATTGATTTATGTTGCTAATTATATATACTTGTATATAAATGTATTATGTATTAGTATTTTTCGTTCTTATAACTTCTTTTCGTAATGAAAATATGGCATTAGAGCTGGAGAGAATATGGGTTGACTAACAATTAAACAAGTATTGCAGCTAATTTGAGGGCTGAGTCATTAACATTTCCTGCTGGTTTGCGTTTCATTTCAATTGTAAACTTAACAAGTAATTTTTACTATTGCATGTGGTAATGGATTGGATTTGATTTTATTTGATTGGATTGGATTGGATTGGGTTGGCTCGTGTTGTTTTGTGTTCTTCGTTCTTCGGACTTGTATTTTGCTTGCAAAAATAAACAATTGTCACTGACAGCGAACGTAAAAACTAAATAAATGCACAATAATCAATGCGTAATCCGATTTTGATTCTTAGCCATGGAAGAAGCAGTGGAGTCGAGCGTGGGAGACTGGCCGATTAATTTTAAAACCCATATGGAATACTAAATTAATGTACAATCGCTTTCTGGACGTTTTATGTCCTTATATACTTTTCGATTTCGTTTTTCATTATTATTTTCAATCTCAATTTCAATAAATATTCAAGTTTTTGTGTGTGTTTTTTTTATTTAGAAAAAAGTAGAAATAGTTCTCTTCATTTCATTACTAATTCCTTTTTAGTTTGTTTAGTTGCCAGGAAGGTTCAGAGAGTGTTCGTATTCTGTTTTTTTGCTTCATTTAGTATTTTTCGTTTTTCTCTTAAAGTTTTTTTTTTGTATTTTTCCATTTGTGTGGTTCTTCTTGTTTTTGTTTTAGGAATTACACTAATAATTACATAGTTTTGCTTATGTTTAACCTAAAAACATTAATTTATGAATCAATTTCCGCTTGTTATGTGTCGCACAATTCGCAATTCACAATAATTATTGGTATTCCCAACGGATTAACTTTTATTCTCTTTTTTCCGTGGTGTGAAATGGATGGCGGAAGTGACTGACCATTGGATTTAAAGGGGTCTTTCGAGAGCGGGTGTATAATCATGATATATCCAATTCGCTTCCATTATTCAGCTAACATATACTCGTATATTCATAATTGTGTATTCAATATGCGTCTGTCGCTGCCTCCATCCACATCGTCCATGTAGGCGCTGCGTCGTGTTTTGTGGTATTATTATAGGTATTATTTCTCGCTCTCCTCCTGCCTTTGCTCTACATACTCGTAATTCATAATTAATTCGCTTAATTTTGCCCGCCCTTATATTGGTTTCACTATGAATATAATATATATTAATTATATATTAGATTTCGCACGATTTGCGTGCGCTTCCATTCATATTTGATATTGGTTTTCCTTTTGTTTTCGTCGCTTAAAATTTACTTAATTAGAAAAGTCGCCCTCCTCCGTCAACCGTCCGGCATTAGCTTACAGGTAAGTTTTGAATTGTTTTTGTTTATGTGTTCCTCTCGAATCTCTGCACGCTTTTACTTGGTTGTTCATGGTTTAATGCGTTTAGTTTACCCCCCCAACGAAAAATTGTATGTGATCCGAAGATGCCTTCGATTTTCATTGAATTTGTGTTAGTTTTGTTGCTTTTGCTTTTGCTGTTTGCTGTTGCTGTTGCTGATGATTACTCATTGTGGCAGATGGCTGCTGATGGCGCTGCTCCTTCCGCGCTTCGCACTCCGCACAGTGTATCGAGATGAGCCGTCATCTCCTCCTCCGCTAAGATCCGTATCCCGTTCGAGATGGATCTCCATACGGGTGGATCCTCACTCATGGCTCACTTAATACCTGCGCGATGTGCCATTATCTCAGGCGTAGAACTCGCGATTATTCGCATTTTTCGCATAGGAATTGTTGGCCGGGGAGCGCTTCGGCTCATCCAGGGCGTAGGAGCCCTCGTCCTTTTTCCGCATGCGGTACACGATGAACATCACCACAAGAATGGCGCAAAGCAGGCCAACCACGGCACCGCCAATGACAGCTAAAGGTGCAGGGATGAGAAAAAATGTATGGTCAGAGATTGTCGGGTGAACAAGGAGGGAATGGCCTCTTACCTGCCAGTATTCCTGGCTGCGAGAAGAAGCTCGACGTACGATCGTCCTCGCTCATGATGACCACCTCGTTGCCGTTGGGCCTGTGGTCGACGGGCTTTGTGTCGGAGGGCTGGCTGTTTACGTTCGTATTCGGGTCCAACTCGTGCACGCTGCTGCCACCTCCCGCTGTGCCAAGAAAATAGAGCATAAAGTCAGAGATGAGATTGAGTGTCATAGCTGGGGATTAAAATTATCCATTTACGAGAATGCCCATGACGTGCAAGCAAAATAATACAAAAACAGATAGTGTGTGTGTTTATGTGTGTGTGTGTGTGTGTGTGTGTGTGTGTGTGTGTGTTTATGTGAGTGAGAGACATAGATCTGTTGTTGCGGGTGAGTACTCCGATATCCGATCGGATCGAGTGTCTATATCTGTTTCAGGGTGGTTATGTTACGTGTGTTAATGATATTTTATGCGATATATACAAGGCTTACGGTTAGTAGAGTTGTGATTCGGGACTACGTTTACAAGTAGAAAGGATACCTTATGCCGAACTTCAAGTCTTATAAAACTAGACTACGTACTGCCGGCGGCTCCTACCACCCATCCATCCGACTGACTGTCTGTCTGATTGTTTGCCCACCCGCACGAGCCCAACTTTTGAGCTCATTTCACGCTAATGAGCAATACGGAAAAGTTATGGCCAAATGAAAAAAGTTAGCAGCCGAGAGGCGGAGTAATGCAAATTGTGACAAATTTGCATGGGGGAAATCTCAGTAGGCTTCAGCGTAAGGCGAGAGCAGTTTCGAGATGATAGATGGTGAATCCATGGACACCTACCTCAAAAGTATTCACGGATCTGACACGAGAGCGACATGTTGAAAGAGAAGAGCAATTTGAATGACAATTTGGCTGTCAAAGAAAGTAAATTTAAATTAATTTAATTGACAGCCACACCCACACCCACACCCACACCCACATCCCTCCCTCCACTTCACTTATTACGTGTGTGTTCTTTGTGCTTTGTTGAGCCATTGTTTAACCCCATGACCCCTAGTCTGTTTTCATCTTTCCATCTGGATCCCAATCCGCTTTGGCCTCCCTATGCTTAAGACAAACAATTTGCTTGTTTAGCCCATGTACTTTGCCCCATGAAACATACCCACACACATGTGTGTGGCTTATGCTCCACCCCTCCTTGGGGGAGTAGATTGGTGCGGAGTAAGTGAGATTGGGAGAGTGGCATGCTAATTAGGTAATGGCCAAAAGGCTTATTGAATTGCCGCCAGACACACACTCGTAATCGAATTGAAACTCAAGCAAATCATTGGAAAATGATCGAATCGAAGCACACATCTCAAAGTCGCGTCTGACCCGACGAGAACTCCATCCACGGTGAAGCTATAAATGAAATATTTGCCTTTTAATGCCATTTTCTCATCTGCCATCTTCTGATTTTGAGATAACTTCATCCTGTGATAGAGCATTCCTGTCTATGTGTATCCATCAAACTGATTGTGTGTCTGTCTGTCTGTCTGTCTGTCTGCTTGCACGAAGCCAATAAAGGTGTATCCATCCGTGTATCTCCGATTGGATGTGGGACGGGGAGAAATGCACTTAATGCTGGACTTGCTGGCACTAGGAACTGCAGGATTTAATGCTCAGTATAAAGCATATGGACAGCTGTGGACGCAATTATGGCCGAAATTGTGGTCCTGCTGTGTGCTAGACGCCTGCCATATGCCACATGGTTTGTGCTTCGTGTTTATACTGGGCGTGGCACTGGCACTGGCACAAACATCAAAGCTGGCCATATATTCGCAGCCCACGCACGCACACACACACAGTGCCCATACACCTATCAGATCCACTCCTGGGTTCCCATTAGACTTTGTTTGTGCTCTCCCTCCCTCCCCACTCGCTTCATAAATAGTGTTTGCCACATACACAAAGGATGAATGGGTTTCGGGGTAAGAGCAACAATGCCCCCAAGTCGTTGGGAGTTTTGTGTGGAGTGGATTTGGAGGCGCTCCTTGCCACTGCCATTGCCAGGGACTTGGTGATTTTTCATTTCAAGTGGAGCGCAGTGAGGAGCGCTTTCCAAGTGCTTTCCACTCGAAGAGCAACAAAGCACAAAATCACTGTGCGGCTTAGTGTGATTCCAGGGCGGTTCTTCAGGGGGGAGCCGCGACAGTGTTGATGGAACTTTGGGCCTAGGGCAGGACTCTCTATATGCAGAACCTTGATGGAGGGCGTGTGCGGGTGCATCTCAATCGATGAATCGATGGATGGTGGATGCCCCGTCTACCGTTCTCATTTGATGCGTACATAAAACACACTTAAGCTATCCTTAAATTATGTGACTTAGAATAGCTTTATCCTAGGGTTAACACTAAAGTCTATGAGAATGTGAATGAGAATGAGCGTGAGGTTGAGGTTGAGGTTCGAGCCAATGGAATTGTGTTGGCTCTGCGGGAGTTTTTCCAATCGAACAAATGAATGAATAAATGCCAAAAGCAGACTGAATGAATGAATGAATGAATCGAATGGAATGGTATGGTCAATGGATGAAAATTGGTCACAGAATGAAAGTGTGGGAATTATGGTGTATTGGCCATTGTATAGCCGGGGTGTGCGGGGAGGAATTCCATGTAAAAGTCCACACAAAAGGAAACCCCGCAGCATTGTTCGTTGCCAGAGCGCGCAGTAGAGAAAAACTAAGGTAAAACTTAACAAATATATATATGTAAGTAATTGTAAGGAATATTCTATATACTTGAATGTGTGCACCAATCAAACTACGTAACATAACGTAACGTAACAGAAACCAAAGCAAATACCCAAGAAATCAACTACAATGCAAGCGAGAAAACTTTGTTTGCTGTTGAAAAAAGTGCTTTAGAAGATACAAATAAAATAAATATAATGTTAAATAAAATACGATAAAAGGAATGCAGTGCCGGAGATACCACAATTGGTGTCTCTCCAAAACATAAGCTGGGGGCAGAGACATAACACAAAAAGGAATCGCATTGTGGGTGGGAGGAGGACAAAACAAGAAGCAACAATGAAACACAAAATACAAAAAACACAACATAAAAAGCAAAGGCAAAACGGATAGACAAACAAAAAAAAGCAAATAATCAAAAGGAAAGTATAAAAAAGAGGAGTAAAAATAAAAACCACTGACGTCCGCGCTCTGTGTTGAGGTCTCCATCGTTGCCACGGATTCCATTTCCATTTCCATTCCCGTTGGTAGTGCCATCCTCATTGCCGCCATCCACATCGATGATGCTATCATCATCGTCGGTGTCATCATTATCACCATCGCCATCATCGGTATCGCTATCGATATCATGATCAGAATCATGATCGATGTTATCGCTACCATCGGGAACGGGCACTGCAAACTTTGGCTTCCCGGAATCGGGATGATCAATGATGATGTCGTCATCGTCACCCTCGTCATCATCCTCGCCGCCACCTTCCACATCGATGCCATCGCCACTGGCATCCTCATCCACATCGAGCTCCTCATCGAAGGCTGGGAAGTGGGGTAAGGGACGGCTCGCTGTGGTGGAATCGACAACAAGGGGCTTAGGCGTGGTTTGGGTGCGATTCGAGGCAGCTGTGGTTGATGTGGTTGTGGCCGCAGTTGTCGTACTGGTGCTGGTGGTGGTGGTGCTGCTGCTGCTGCTTGTCGTTGTTGGTGAACTGCTTGTTGTTGTTGAGGTTGTGGATGAGGTTTGTGTTGGTGTATGAGCTGCTGGATATAGAGATGGGGTTGTTGGTGTTGGTGTTCTTGTAGATGTTGTGAATGATTGATTGTTAGTGTTGTTGTCTCTAGATCTAACATAACTATAATCTAAGCTGGCAATGACTGTTGTAACTGTAACTGTATCTGTTGCTGCTGTTGTTGTTGTTGTTTTCGGCTCTGTATCTGTTGATGGTGTAATTGTTGGATTTGTAATAACTAAAATGTGGTGTACTGTGGTGTGGTGGTGGTGGGTAGAAGAGGGAGGAGTTGAAGTTGAAGTAGTGGAAGTAGTAGAAGATAGAATGTCTCGCTTAGAGTAGCTACAAAACTAGCTTGATCTTTACCGATTGTGTTAATGCCAGTGCCACTATGACCACCGATCTCACCACCACTGCCACTGATGATGCCACCGCTCTGGCCGCCGATGTGATTCTGATTACTGTTATGGTTCGCTGTGGTGCTACTACCAATGATTGTGCCACTATTCGCTGGATGGTGATTGTTATTAAGGTTGGGATTATTATTATTATTATAATTATTATTGTAATTAATATTCTGGCTGTTGTTGTTGTCGATTTGGTTCAGGTTGTTGTTGTTGTTGTTGAATCTACTCGATATGTGGTCGAGGTCGTCGTTGTGGCTGTTGTCGTTCGAATTATGCTTACTGTTTATGCTGGAGCCGCCGGTCTGCGAGATGCGCGTGTTGTGCGAACCGTGCTGCGAGTGATGATCCGGCTCGGCGTCCTCGTCATCCGGTCCAAAGCCAGAGCCAGAATAGTCCGGATCCTTCTCTAGATCGTCGTGTATCTGTAATCACAAAGCAGACACAATGGAATGGGGGAATTAGTTTAGGGCTTTGAAAACTTTTCTTCAGGGGACGGATGCGATTCCCAAGTGCTTGTAAAATTATTTGTGCGCAACAAATGGCAGCCATTTCCATGGAGAATAATACTAGCATGTCCTTGAATGTCCGCACTGCCAGTGGGTTGGTTCTCCTTTTGTGCGTTTGGGGGCTGGGCCACTCACATGGGCCATTGTCTGGCTGCGGTTATGTGACTGTGACGGGTTTTTGCGGTTTATTTGTGCCCCGAAACGAGCCCCAAGACCACAGAGATAGAGAGACAGAGGGGAAACGACCAAAGTGCCATAGCAACTGTGACCAGAGCCAATTGTCGGGGGACAGTCGACTGACAATCCTCCGCCGCAGCAGCAGCAGCAGCAGCAGCAGCAGCAGCACCATCCCCAGCCCCCAGCCCCCAGCCGCAGCCTCCAGGGCTTGTTTATTGACTTTAATTTCGTTTGCCGCTTGTTCTGGCCATAAAAACAGTGGCCCAAAAATAGAGGGGAAAATCGGGGCCAAAGGACACAAACTTAATTGAATTTCTCCACGCCTTATGAAATGCCCTACAAAACGATGGGTTTGTCTTGGCATTTGGCCAGAGCTAACGACACTTGTTGACCCGCCCCACAGAAAAAAAGGGACTAACAGTGTGAGAGAGAGAGAGAGAAGGAGGCGGGAGAGCGGACCATGAGTACTCATAATGAGAACGAGCTAAGAAAAAATTAAGTGATTTGAAGAGTGAGAGCAATTCAATTTCAATTTCTCTCCTGCTTGGCATATAAAACCGTAATTCAAATTAGATTTTCCAGCAGAGCTCTTTATCCTCTTGTATTTATTTCCATTTTCGTGTGCGAACGAAACGGACCCTCATTTTGAAGAGGATTAACAGACTCCAACCCGCTGTGCGTCCCTTTTCCACCGGTCGAAACCCGCTCATAACCGAAAATTTTAAGCACACGAGCCGCAGTGCCGCGGGGCTGCGGTTTTCCACGACAAATAAAGTACTTGTGTGCTGAAAGGGAATCGAATATGATGAAAGGGAGCGAGTGTTGGGACTATAGAGATACCTGCTGAGCTGAGGAACATATTCGAAATATATTGTACAAGATTCTGTAGAATTCTCATATCGAACCCAAGAGAAGGGGCCAGAAAGAAAGTTCCAGCTGCTCTGGTTCGCTCTTCTCACTTTCACATAAACCCCAACTGATTCTCCTGCTGCAGGGTATGCCAAAAATAAAGCAAAAGCAAACATTATCCTCGCAAATACTCGTTCCGTTTATTTTCGTCGAGATATTTTTGGTTTTTTTTGCTGCTGTTGTTTGCTTTTGTTTTGCTTCGTTTGAAATTTAATTAAAATATTTTGCGTATTGCGTATACGATGAGTTGTGCACGCCGAACCCCTCCACATTTATCATGTTTCGGAGAGCAGGCGGCACTTTTCTTTCACAGAAATGGAATCCACTAGGCAAACGCTTGACCAAAGTACTCATAAATATCCACCAGGGACACCATGCACATGGAGAATGGTTGCAGCATAGGAGACGCCCCAGAAGTGGCCATAAAGCATGTGGCAACAAAAAAAATGTTTGTCCTCCTGCATGCCACTAGGGGGAGAATGTTCGAGGATGTGAGAGGATATAGAAGGATGGCTGCAACACTTTCGTTCTGGCCGAGTTTATTTAGAGCGTGCTCCTCTATCCCTTTCGCTGTTTTGCCGCTTGATTTATGCCGCAATTAGCAGTCGCAAAATGGGGCAAGCAGCAAGCGGAAAAGGGGCAGCAAGCAGCGAGCAGCAAGCGGCGTGTGGCTGAGTGCTGAGTGGCAGCTTTGCCGCATGACTAAGCAGCCTCTTGCCCAGAGCATTTGCTTCATGTTCTCTACTTAGCTGTTAGTTTTCGCCGCTAAATGAACTCATTTCGAGAGAGGCAACAACTTGCCCCGAAAATTGCACTTTCATAGCCGCCACGTTGCGCTGTGCTTGCCTCGTTTACGGGCAGCCTCTGGCAGCTCCCCGAAGTCGCAAAGTTTCTCCCTTCTTCTGCTCCGACAAAGATCAATGGTGCAGGGAGTGGTAGGGGTAGGGGTAGGGGTAGTGAGGCTGCGGCGGCAACTGTGGCCTGCAGAGTGCAATTTGAATTTATGCAATAAATTGCTTTGTTAATAAAATACGAGCTGCGGGGACGAGTGGTTGAGAGGACGAGGCGAATGCCAAGGAGCAGCGGGTGCGCTGCAACCCACCGCTGGGGAGAAGAGTGCTGCAATATGGGTCATGCATGAATTTAAATTATGTCATTTCGTCCACTATTTTGGCCACCTGCTGCCCAGCCCAGGCGATGCCGCTGCTCCGCGCTCTGCAATGGAATGGAAAGGAAAGGAATACGTGGCTCGACTGTCTTTCTCCCGCTTGTGTCGCATTAAATTTGCATTTGCTGGCAGCTGCCTCCCACAACCACAACCACCACCACGACCACCACCCCGCTCTCCTCTTGACAGTTTCGGGCTGGCCAACGCGGCGTATGCTTGACACCATTCTGATATATGGCAACGAAAATGAAATACGAATAAGTTTCGCTGTGCCGGCGCAAAATTTCCATAAGGCGGAAATTGTTTCAATAAAACGTTTAAGAACTTCAAAAAGTTCCAGCTGACATGCGGAGCGCAGGAAGGATAAGGAAAGAGCGGAAAAAAGAGGGAAGAAAACTAGTTGCTGGCACGAAAACTCGAGGGGAAAACCCTTGGGTATGACGGAAACCCGAATGAGAGAAGCCAACGACGCGAGAGATGGAACAAAGGCAGCGGCAACCTTCGGAGCTTCCATAATGAGCGCAAATTGTGTCAGTCAGTGCGTTCAACTGCAACAAGGCAGGGGGCAGGGTGGCAGTCGGAGCAGTCGGAGCAGAGAGGGTTTTGCCACAGGGTGCTGCATGCTGCAATAACAACAAAGGCTGGCAGGCACGTTTCATGCATAAACAACAAGACTCTGAGGCTGAGGGTTGGCTCTGATGCCGTGCACTTTCTCGACTTCACATTTCCCCTCAAATGTCGGGCAAAAAGTTATCATGGCCGAAAAGGAGAAAAGTTCTTTTCCAACTCATAGCCTTTGTTTCCCCACTCCCCACACTTCTCTTTTCCTACTTTAAGCATAATTAATGACAGGAATTACATTTGCGAGTGTATTGCCATCATAAAACAGACTCTCAACCAAAGACAAAACACAACAACAACAAGTGTAACAACCACACGGAATGCCCCGCCTGACTATCCTGTTGTCGAGCATCGACAATCGGCGGTGCAGACTAAAATCCCGACTACATGAAGCTTTCACTTTGCAGCATCACAAAATGTTTTCCAAAAGTTTTTCTCTCGACAAAAGTTGTCCTAACGAGTAAATTGTCGATTTGACAATGTTCCCAAAGTGCGTGACTCGAGAGTTGACCGAGTTTTTCCAGGGCCCCGCCCCTCACCGCACAAAATGGCAACTGGGAAAAGTCGGCTTGGCCAGGGCTTTTTGGGCAGAGTTGACCCCCCTTTACGTATTCCTCCTCTTCTATTCACTGACGTTCATTGGGATTTTTGCATTGTGAATGTAGCATTTGGTCCGAAATCCAATAGGATCCAAACTACCCAAGTGGCCTGCTAAACATGTGCATTCGGGTATTTTTGGCATACACTTCCGTTTGCAGGGGAAATGGCCAAAGTTTTTCTACCACACACACACACACACACCGAGCACACCGAGAGACGGAAAGACCGAGGTGAAAGCGATGAGGGGTCTGGGGGTAACGTAACCACAATCCTCGGCAAAATTGATGGCCAGAGAGAGGGAGAAGCTTTGTTTTTCCTGCCTTTGGAATCGGCATGCCTCAATAATTGCTTGGAGTTGCCTCTGGAGGGAGGCGGTTCTAATTTATTTACATGCAACTTGCAACTTTGGTTTCCACAGAAGGAACGAGAACGAGTGAAACAGATCGAATGAGAGACAGAGTTTAGGTGGAGGCAGAGGCAGAGGCAGATGCAGAGAAACTTAAAACGAACTACAGGAAAACTCAATTTTCCGGCTGGAAGATATCTTACGGCTTTATTTAAACAATGAAATTGAAAATTCGCTTCGCTTGTTGTTTGCTCTCGCTCTCTCCTCTCTCTCAGTGTGGCTGTGCTTTCCATCGAAAAAGAGATGAACAACTTTTGAGCTGGTAAGGACATCATTTTCCTGCAGAACTTATTATTTTCCAATTGTCCATTTACATTTAGATTGGAGCAAAGTGTAATCAAATGAGAAGAGCAGATGAAAAATGCCTGGAAATAACCAAAAACAGACACACATACACTCATCCATATACAGAGAGGTGTCTCTGTTCGTGCCGCATGCAATACTCATTGCACTTTTGGGGGCTTATGCTCCACATGGAGCTTTTCGTTTCACGAAATAATTGCATTTTAAATGCAACAAATGAGCAGCAGCAAATTGAAAAAGTTCTTCGAAAAAACACCACCAAGTGGATGTTTTTTTCCCGCTGAATGCATCCTCAAGAGTTGCGAAACTTTCACTCACATAAACACACACACACACACACACAAGCAGAGATAGATGCAAAGGGGAAAACTGTGTCGTGGCCTTGCAGCAGCAGCAGCAGCAGCACAACAATTGCTTAGTTTTCCCTTTATTTTTCACGTTTGTTCTTTTTCTTTTCCCCGTTTTCTTTTCTCTGCTTTTCATCTGCAGCCCGAATAACTCTTTTGTTGCCCAAACGCTGTTGCATATTGTTCTGCGCCCTGCCCCTGACACTGGGCACTGTTGTTTCTGTTACTGTTTCTGTTGCCTGCCATCGCCTGCGGCAGCAGTGTGGCATAATGTGGCACTTAATTGGCAGCTGCATTGCAGCGCCTCCTGTCCGTCAGCCACGAGCTGACACCATTTATCAAGCTCTTGCCTGTCAGCGTTTGTCTTTTGCTTTAATTCATGGGA